ACCTTATCCGTCCTGCTTTGAAGGTCGGCCAGAGCGAGGGGCGTCTTGTACGTGCTCTGGGAGGATCTTAAGAGGGAGAACGTTTGGCTCGAAACCAGCCTCAATAGCTCTACTATAGATACGATTGACCGTACGAGGATGAACATCAGTAAGTTCAGAGATCTGTGATGTAGACTTGCCAACAGAAGGTGACTTTAACGCCACAATTAAGGTGCGGGTGTAAGGATCAGTATTAGGAGACATTGTAACGATAGATACAGACAAATCGTACAGCTACTCAGCTCAAAGGTGGGAGTTGCGCCAAGAAGAGTTATGCCGAAGCGCCGAGATTAGCGTGGGACAAAACTTTTGTGAGGCACCTCCGTATTCGATAGAGAGCTAAGCTCTCGGCTACGTAGCTATCTATATACAATGCTGGTTGCTAGGGTAACAATCAGGCCAGGCAGGTGGAGTAAACGAGGTCGTAGACGAGTATGGGAGGCGAAGGGCGTTTAGCCCGTTACAGGCGGAGGCATATTGGTTGTTGAGGCGCGCATCGAGTCGTCTTGGTGGCGGCCATTGTGTGGAGGCCAGCGGCCAGACCGTACAGCGCAGCGTCAAATCTCTTTTCAGTGGAGCCCATGTTGCTCGGGCCGTTTGAGCAAAAAAGCATTACTCCGGGCGACGTGCCGTAAGCTCATCACCGGCGTCACACCGGTCAGGAAAAAACACCCGCGTTGTGAGAGACGACGTATGCCCTGGTCGCAGATCGGCTCCTTGTCGGTCTATAATCGATAGACAGGGCGATCCGGACAGCACCGCGCCCTGGACGAGCCATGACATCGTTAGCGGGTGCTCGCAGCCTGGCGAAACCGGCGTTCGTCCTGGGGCCGCCAATGTTTGGTGGAGCGGCAGGGCGGCTGGCGTGTGCTGGGATGGAATGGGTGGCAAGGGGACGCTGGGTGTTGGCCGCGTGCCGTACGTAATTCCTGTGCCGCGAGGATGAACAGGACGGCCGTGGCGAAGGCGTGCTGGTGCCGCTGTGGTTTGTTGAAGCCGCAGTGGAAGCCGAAAATGCATATATTAATACCCACGCTCGAGTTGGGCCGTTGGGTGCAGATGGCCAAGAGGGAAATTGCCCCTGAATTTCCCCAGATTATTGGCTGGTGGCCTGCTATACCCGATTGGGCTTAGCGCAAGGTACGGCGCCTGGTGGTGGGCAGCATCAGGACGAGGGAGAGGGAGAAGAGCGAAAGGGGGGGGAACAACCTCCGTCTGGCCATGGACTCGCCCACGACAAGACCTTGGCCCAAGGACGCTCTTGGTGCCTAGGCTGGAGATGCGGTGCAAAGGCAAAATAGGGGAGGATGCTCCTGGCCCCCCCCCCTCCCCCCTCCCCAAGGCCCTCCCCATCCTGCTCGCGAATCACCGATTGGCCGCATAAGCTTCATCTCTCATTAGTCGATGCCCTAGCCCGCTTCCGGCTCCCAATTTTGCTCCCTCTGCCGCTCCGCCTGGCGTTTCGAGCCGGCCAAAAAAGCCTACAGTCAGCTTGCGTGCCAGTACTTTATTTCATCCCAGCCGGCGCCTCTCTCTCTCTCCCTCTTGTCCTTCCCTCCTCCAAGTCGCATCCTCGCTGCTCAGTCACTCATTCTTAGCTCGCTATACCCATCTAACAACAACCCCCGTAATACCTTAATCTCTCCAACTACCAGCAGACCGCCACCATGCGCTTCTTCCAGACCATCCTCTCCACCGCGGCTTTCGCTGCTCTCGTTGCCGCCCTCGAGATCAACCAGTTCCCTGCCCAGGGTGTCGTTGCCGGCCAGACGTACACCATCACCTACTCTCCTGCGGACAACACGCCCACCACCTTCATCCTCCGCCAGGGCAAGTCCACTGATCTCAACACCATTGAGACCATTACCAGTACGCCCTCCCTTGTTCCTGTAAACTGTCACTGCATATACTGACTCAGCTATAGCTACCGCCACTGGTGGAAAGTTCGAGTGGACCCCCAGCAAGTCTCTGCCCAACCAGCCCGACTACGCTCTCGAGATCAAGCAGGGCAGTGTCATCAACTACTCGGCTCAGTTCCCTCTTACTGGTGGCTCCGGCGCTGCTGTCTCCAGCGCGCCCATCTCCTCTGCGCCTGTCTCGACCCCCGCTGCTTCTTCTACCACCCTGAAGTCGAGCGCCAGCCCCGCCTCGTCGCCTGTCTCGTCGCCCGTCTCTGCCCCGGCTTCCACTCCTTCCGGCACCATCGCCACCAGCGTTGGCACCAACGGCACCGTCACTTCTCCTACTCTCTCTCCTACTGGCACCCGCCCCAGCGTTCCCGAAGTCAGCGGCAGCTCCGGCAACTCTCTCCTCGCCAACCCCATGGCCGCCATTGCCGGTGCCGTTGCTGCTTTCGCTTACCTCGCATAAGCGCATTATTCCACTCCAAGCATCCTGTCTCATGTCTTGTCTTTGTACGATATATCGGTATTGGATATACAGTGGGATACCCCCTTTCTACACCCTCGTTGGTTCAAGCAAATGTGAGCCACGCGACCATCAGGGCGTCCGTGGCTGCGGGTGTGTCGAAAGTCAAACGCTATGCAAAGAGCTTGTAAAGCGATAGCCGTAATGATAATATGGAACCCTTATACCCCTCTTCCTTGTTCTTCTGGTAAACCTTGTCTTTGTTGGTCCAACTGTGTGTGTGAAGCCTTGGTCGTATGCGTTAATTCCTAGTCACCTACTTGCGCGTGGCCAATTACCTCGCGCGCTCGTGTCTTGGATCTGATACAAACCCATAGCTCCAAAGCTTTAACTTTCTTTCTTTCCTGCTCGGCACCTTTGCAGCTTGAATTTTTTTTCGCCGTGAAACCTGAGTTCCCGCGGCAGACGTCACACTGTCCCTGTCCGCGTGGTACCGTCGCCGTCATCTTTTAGTCGCACAACAGAAAGAGGCAGTGAGTGGTACACGCCTCATCATCGTGCGTGCGAAGCCCCAACCCAACTGCCGACAATGCCCACATGAACGTTGCCGCCCGTGCGCAACAATGCTGCACCCTTCCTTTGTGTGTGTATTATCTAACTTTAGAAAGAAAAAAAGAAAGGGAAGAAGAAGAAAAGGTGAAAAGCAGGTTCGTCAACCATACACGTGCAGTCGGCATGACGGGGTCCGCCCTTCCAAACCTCTTCTTCTTCTTCCATTATTCCTCGCAGAACCAGCTCTCGCAGCACACTCCCTTCCCTTCCGCCATCTCGTAGCCAACTAGCTGCAAGGTCTGCCCCAAACCTTGATTTCATTCTTTCTTTCTCCTTGTTTGATTTGGCCCCCAGCGTGTTGTGTGTGTATGGGTGCCACGAACCACGGTTCTCAGATCTGCTATGCAAAATGCATGTCGAGTCATTGTCCTACTTACAGCAGGGTTCTGTCCAAGTAGCACTGTACGCGCAGCCCCTCTGCGTGTGCGTATGTGTGCATGTGTGCATGTGTGCATGTGTACCAGCAAGCAGCCAGCAAGCAACTTGGATAATAGCGCCTTTTGGCCACATTATCCCAAAGCAGTGCGTCGCCCGCCGCCCCTCCACCTAATGCAAGAACTAAGTCACACGCGTGATAGTGCACACTACTGCTGTATACACACACGTTTAGCTGCAAGATCCCGCTGCGCATCGCCACACTATATTCCGACCTTCTGCGATCGCGTTTTTTTTTGGTTTTTTCTCATCCTTCTTCTTGGCCTGGCTTGGTCTGCGACTGTCGCCGTGCGTTATTTTTAGACGGTGCGCGAGCATTGGGTTGCGAGATGCTGAATGCAAATAGACATGTTCAAGGGAGGGAAACAAGGGAAAAGGAAGGGGTAAGTGGTTGGTTGGGTTGAAGCACTGGAGACAGGTAGTATACTGGACTGGACGGCTGGACTGTGTTGAACAGGGCTTGTACCGTTTGGTTCCGCGCACTCAGATTGTCGCTTTTGTCATACCGTACTACGGTGACTGTAAGTATTTAGCCAACTGGCTGGTTGGTTATCCTGATACGGTCATTGTGGCTGTCTGCCAGCCCGTCTAATCCGTTACATGTGTTGCCGAGTCGCTGCCACAGGCTGACACTGACACACCAACATGGACACATGACGCCACAGTGCTCATCACAGGTAGGGCAAGAAACACCTGCAGTAAATCATATCGTGTGGTACCATTACGGATTAAACACTCCAACTTGAACCAAGAAGAGAGAAGAAAAAACTTGAGCAACATGCGCGATGGATGACGCATCGGATACTACGGCTCTCGTCAGCTTTTCCCATCCCCGGCTAATTCTCGAGTGCATGAGACCGGGGGGATCGCAAGAACCTGGGCCATATTTGGTGTGATAATTATCTACGATGACACCTTTTTTTGAGCTCATTGGAAGCCTGTTTCTGCGCTCGCATCGTACTGCAGCGTGTACGAAATACGAGTCAAACTGTCATCGTAGAAGTAAAAGCTCGCTTTTCTCGTTTTCCATCTCGTTTTGCTCGTTTTGCTTTTCTTTTGTTCTTGATTTCTTTTTACTCCAGCGGAACTTTGCGGTAGGCGTACATGAACAACATACGTTCACCACACACACATAAACACGCACACGCACTTTTTTTTTGGATGGAAACAGAAACAGGCAACGCTAGAATACACCAAACAGCGTGATTTAATTTTTTGTCTGGCGCGTGACGACGAAACTATGGTTGACCCGTCGACGCTAATATCATAGTAGTACGTAGGTGTACGTACTACTTGTAAACGTATGTACTGCGCCGACTTGAATGCCTAGACACGGAAATCCCAACGCAGCCGGGAATTGGTCAGTCGAGAACAAAACGATTAACAGTCTGGAAAAGGCAAATGTGGTACGCTGCAGGGCTGAGACACAGCTAGCTACGGTGAGTTTTCGGCGACGCGGTAGATTGCGTGGCTTTGCTTATCTTTGGGGGCGCATCGATTGCGTTTGCACTTGAAGGCTGTGTAGTAATAGTGCCTTCCCCGCTCGCTTGTGAGGGAATTTGTCTGGTGAGTAAGACCGTTAGAGGAGGCGTTGTTAGCCTGTATACATTCGTATTCCGGAAAGATCTACGCTGGCCATTTGGTCACATGAGTGGCATGCGTGTGCACGTGAAATGCTACGCAACTTTTCGCTTCCTAGCACTACAGTGACCGTGCGCCAGATGGTCATGGTCGCCAGTTGGACACCCCAACAACAACAATATAATCAAAAAGATGAGGCTGTACAGCCCCTATAAATCGTGATAAAATTGCGCAAAGCTAGGATTATACTATATACAGGCCTACGAAAATTTTAGCTTATTTAGATTTTTTTTTAGAGGGCGTTATTGGTGGGTCTCGTCGACTACGTAGTACAACAGCTAGTGCACCCCTTGCGGCTCTCACTATAGCTAGAGCAACACCACCACGCTTTTAACGCTTTATAGCTAGCTTATAAGGTTTTAAAGCTTTGCGCTTACCCTTTTAGGGCAATTGTATAGCTTTTTTAGCATCGCGGAGGCTTCTACAGCGCTCCTTTTTAGCTTGCTCTATAGCCCTCCGCTTTCTGCTCTCCTCTTAACCCTTCTCCCACTTAACACGCTTTGTAGCTTTAATTTAAAGCTTATAATTGCGATTTGCTTTCTTAATCTTAGCTTGCTTGGCTTTCTAAAGCTTTTTAAGCTTAGCTTATTATTGTTATGCCTCTTAACAATCGCAGGATTGTTGTACACTCCTAGGCGACTATATTTTAGCTCCCCTATAGTAAACCTCGTCCTTATTAAGCTAGAGGGCGAATAACTACTTTAGTCGTCTCTCCTTAATGGCTAGGGACTGCCTAAGGCCCCTAATCTTCTTATAAAGTATACTGTTTTAAGCTAAGATGTAGCACAAGCTTTGTTAAAGCTTCTTGACGTCTTTACTGCTCTAATCCTTTACCTCACGGCGTATGATTGATTTAAGCTTGAGCTAATCGTCTTTAGAGAGGACTGACTAGCTGCTTTTAGAATCTGAAGCCTCTTTGGTAAACCTCTTAAGTACAACGTCTAGGTTAGCTAGCTATATACTAGTGGCTTTAAAAGACCTTTTGATAAGTTAAGGCCTGAATATAGAGGTCCAGGACCTCTAGAAGAGCGGGAAGAAGTCTCCTTTAGTTAAATTAAGCAACCCCTAGCTGTCCTGTAGGTATCTAGATAACTAAGTTAAGTAAGCTATTGCTAGGGGTTTAAACATTACCACATTAAGTGGTTAAAGCGTATAGGTAGCGTGAGGTAGAAATACTAATAAGAGGATCTTATTGTTATAGCAATACTTAATAAACTCTATAGTTACATGGGATCCGTGGCTGTTAAGGATTAATAATTAATACCTAGTTAAAGCGTATCGTCTAGTCTCCTATTTAAAAACCCCCTTAAGCTAAGCTAACCTAATATTGTTATTAGTCTAGCTAGAGGGAGATAAGGTTACAAAGACTAAGTGCTCGTTGGCTTATATAGCTTTAACCTAGCTTAATTAAACTAACCTATTAGATCCCTAGAAGATAAGTGTTAGACTTAAAACTATACCATCTAAACAAATATAAGCTATAACTATTATCTACTTAGTTAAGCTATCTTTAAGTGCTTGCCTTGCCCCTTTTTGCTTATAGAGTCTCCTACTAAATATACGTTTTGTACTACTAACCTAGCTAAGTTAAAACCTCTTTTTGTCTATATTAAATATATTAATAGGTTGTATATTGTACTCATTAATCTTTTTATGTAAAAGCTTAAAGTACAAGCTATACTTAGCCCCTAAATTAGCTTTAGTCCGCTCCTTAGCTATAGCTTTGCCTAAGCGAGAGATAAGATGGTTAGGATGCTAGCGGAGATACTAGGTAACCTAGCTTTTAGAGACTAGTTTGCTAGCTAACTAGCTAGTAAACTATTGTATTATTATTCTTGTAAGTGGCAAACGTGTAACGGCGCAGGTAAGGCAGGTCGGATCTGTTTCGGTCGTAGGATCACTCAGAGGCATATGGGAGTGCGTGGGATCACAAAGAGCCTAGATTCAACAAGCCACCTATAGGCCTTGTACGAAAGGATATCAAAAGTCTACAGAGCTAGCTACAGGGAGTGTCTCAATATATACCTATCCTAGTCGGGTCCGAATTCGGATCCGACCTCGGGCGAATGGCTGATGAAGGGCGGCAGGTACTTCCTCCGATCCGGCTCTGGGATTGGCTCAATACTTGGCGAAGTTGT